CTGTGGACTTGGGAGCCAACACTCATGATCCCTTAACTTTATATCCGCATCTGCAGCTTCACCCCAATCCATGCCTAAAAGAATGTCAAAAGGGAAACTATCTTCCACAAAGAGAGTCAGAGAGATGCAGCTTCACCCCAGTCAATGCTTAAAAGAATGTCAAACGGGAAACTATCTTCCACCAAGAGAGTCAGAGAGTGGAGAATGCGTTCCACCTTCCCCTCTGCTTCGAGCTGGAAGTATGTCTGAACCCCTTCAACATATCTATCCATTACAATCTCAGTACTATTTGCTAATTCACTAACTACGGGCTCATCCAACTGTTTGACCTTTAGCCCGAGATGCAGCTTTTGCAATCCTTTCTTACTAATATAATTGCGTGTTGAACCACTGTCAATCATACCACCTACTCTTACTTTATTGGTTTCTAGATCTGCAATAATTAGCTGCCCTCTCTGTTTTTTAATTTCGACCTAGGCTTTGCGACGGGTGACCAACTCATCACCTATGCCTGCGAGGGATCCACCTAGAGAGGTACATACACTAACTACCTCTGGACAGCTGACTAGGTGGGGGTCGCTTACCTTTTCAGATTCTGCCAGTGGAACCTTCGGATGAGAGGATGTCTGTCTAATTACATCCGAAGTTCCTATAAAGGCAACTGAGACCCCTATTGGCTGTTCCCTTTTGGTACCTTATAATCTGGGCAATAGGGAACAATGTGGTTGGGGTCACCACATTCAAGGCACTGGTCGGCAGTTTTCCTTCTTGCCAGACTTTATCTGTAATCCCCGACTTTTCCCAAGGTCTGCCTTCCGACAAACCAGGATGGGGTGGATATGGTTTATCCCAATTCCCATGCCATGTGCCTCGTCCTCTACCCCAAGTGGAGTTGAAACCTCGGCCACCTTGCGAGGGACCATTGCCCCTTCCTCCCACGTAGGAGCTTCCTTCGCCACAACCCCTCTAGATGCCAAATCCTCTTCCTCCACGCCCGCGGCCTCCTCTTCCTCAGCCAGGGCCTCTTCTTTGTCGCCCTCCCCCGCGGGCTGCAACGGCCGCGTAGTCCCCCTCCTAGACTACTGATCCGTTGGGTCCTCCTTCTAGACCGTAATCTATTTGATCATAGGAGAGAGTTTTGACACCTCCTTCTTCAAAGGTCAGAAGGAGTTTGTCTTTCCCAGGTATATACCTTGAGATGGTGCAGTTCTGCCACTTCTTTCCCGCTTGCAGATCTTTCCAATAATGGCAGTAGTTAGCTTCAGCTAAGAAGCCAACATGATCTATGGCGATCTTGCCAAATTTCTCATATGTCATCCCCTCCTCCTTGGTACGGGGATATAACTGAGTAAGGAGAGGATTGGGTAGTGTCCTAATGAAGTCATTTAGAACCTGCGTTGGAGTTAGTCCGTGCTCAGAGCATTGCAAAAGTTCATCCTTAGTTGCTTTAAGGGCGGACACACTTTTCTATTTTCCGTCGATAATGTTTAATATTAGCATTTCGGTTCTGCGAGCCAAATTTTTATCTTCAAATCTTTTTCTAACAGCTTTGAATAAATCTTCGATTCGTGTTTGCTGGGAGTACTCAACCATTGTTCCACAATTGGTTTCTTTTTGCAGCGATATGGCGAAGCTGATTGCATCGCCGCCCATGCACGAAGTGGCCATTAGGACCCTGTCCCAATATGGAATGCGTTGTCCATACACGTAAGATTCTACCGCAGCAGTCCAGTATGTCCACGACACCTTTATCTTTTGGACTTCCCCTGCATCTTCTTGTAACACGCCCTTCTTCTTCCTATCTCCGTCTCTATCACCTTTTCCATCTCCTCCATCTCCCGCTACTTACCAATTTTTCAATCACGGCGGGTGTTAAAGTCTTGCTGATCTGCTAGTCTAATTTTACAATGTATGCTTCTACATGTTGATCGACTTATGTAGCAGATCTTTGCAGACTTTTGTAGCACATCTTTGCAGGAAGGTATTCCAGACTCCCTCAAACTCATATTGGTGAGCTTCAACTTTGTGCAAGGTCCTGTTCATTGCCACCAACTCTTGTTTTGTATGGAGAACTGTTGCTATTAAGAGGGCAAGTTGTTCTTCGATTGCTGTTTTTTTTTTCTTTTCTGCGCCTATAATTCTCTTTGTAACCTTTCTCCTTCTGCTTGCAATCTTCTCCTTTCTTCAAGCTCTTGTCGTTTTGCTGCTAACATTTTAGTGTGCAACTCTGCTCGTTTTTCTTCCAGCAAAAGTTCCCTTTCCCTTTTATTTTTAATTGAAGCCAATTTTGCAACAAAAGTGTTCCTTTCTTCCTCTGACTCTTCAATTCTATCACTGCAGTAGTTGTACTAGTCATACCAATTAAGGGACTGACCTGTATATTCAACCCACCAGACCGACTACTTTCACCGCTTTCAGGCCGACGTCTGACGAGTCTGTCTGTATAATCTACAGATTCATCTTCTTCTATAGTTTTTAGTTCCTCCTGCAATTCTTTTTCCAGCTTTTCTTTCAACTCCTTTTTAATTTTTTTTCTTCTTCTAGCTGAGTTTTCTTTCTCAACTCTTCTTTCTGTTTCCTTCTTTCTCTTTCTTTTTCTCGGCCAAGTGGCGATCAATTTATGCCTGCTCTGCAGCCAAAGGCCCTGGCTTCACAATGCCAGATCTCATCATCATACGGGAGGCACATACCCTCCCGAAGCCCAGGGGAAAGAAGACTCTGAACAATGGGCCCAACAAAATTGAGAGGGCCACTAAACCTTGCATAGGGTAATTAGGAACGCAACACAGGTACCCCTCCGCTGGCCCCACCCACTGACTTTCCTTCGTCTGATCTAACGTTGATGAGATTTTTTTATATATATTTTTTTTCAAACTCTGGATATCGCTGCTTCAGGAATAACAAATTTCAGAGAATATAAAACTTTTACAACTTCAATATACAATAGGACTTTTTCTTTTTTTTTACTCGCTGTCTGTGTCCCACTTGATTACCACCTCTCTCTCTCTCTCCTTTTGGTCTGGCTTTGTCTCCCTTTTCTTTCTTTAATTAACTCTTGTTTGTCTGTGTCCTCCTGCGCAGGGAGTAGTTGGGAGTGTTCTCTATGTCAGATGCCCTAAATGAAACTTCAATCACAGATCATTTCTGCCCATATATCTTGCTTGCAACTTTACGTGGCAATCTGTCACAATCCCCAACTTTCTCCTATCTTTACGGACTTCTATAGCGCAGATGTCAGATCAGATACCAGGACGACAGGACCAAACAAGGACTCTTACCAGCTCTCAACTCTACCGTGCCCAGACAATAGTCCTGACCTTCTGACCAGACCAGACCGAGTGTAGACCAAACAAGAGCAGCGACCACCAGAGAGGAGGGGAAGTAGAGGTACTCGACAAACTCAGCATGCAGCCAGGTAAGGGGTAATAAGTTCTTCTCTTCCCGAAGTCGTCGATGAAGACTCCTCGATCGCTCCACGCTCCACGCGCAGGTAAGATTTTTCCTCCTTAGCCCCTTCCTCTTCGGCTAACTTCCTCCTCCTTATCCCTATCCACTTCACCTCTCAACCTTCCACCATTGCCAACATCAACAAGCCAACGCAATCTTCTCGCCGGCCTTACTCATGCCAACGCTTCAGTGAGTGCAACAAGTTACCGCTCCAATACCAAATTGCAAGGAACCTGACAGTTAGCAACTTGCGGAAGTGTATCACACTGCATGCATAGACATCATTCACATAAATAGAGAGGCTTCACACAAAGCCAAGTCGAGATAAGATGAGAACCAAGGTAGCGCAACCCTTATTATCACAACCACATCACACAAAGAGTATCTCGGGTCCAAGAGTTCAGCGCCAACACAATACAAGTCTCCCTCGTTCAATCATCAGCATGGGCCTGGCTCAGCTAGCGTCTGCCCTTAGATCACTGGTATGGCGCCAACAGGCAAGTATCCACCATATCCAACTTCTCAACCTGTCTTCTCCCTCTCACTCTCTGGAGATCCCTGTCTTGGTTCCCTTGTCTTACTCTGCATGCACACTCCCTATTGTCTGAATGCTACTCACTAATGTCTACTACTAACCCCTCTACTTCTATTAACCATGCTGCCGCAGTTATGGCTGCTTCTGCCAGTCAACGCCCAACCTCTTCTTCTCCTGCTTGCGCAGCTTCCAGCCAGCGCATTCTCCCTGCATGCTAGCGCACAAGTGCTCCAACACTTCCACGCATCTATGCCAGTGGAGATCTGTCGTGTGGGGAGGTGAGCCTGGTCTCTTTTAGTGCTGGCCTCCCTTCATGAGGTCAGAACCAGTGTTCCTTGGGTCTTTCCCCAGTCCCAAACCACTGCAGAATGTGTCCCAGTACCTTTCCCTCAGGGTCTGCTGCTGCGGCAGCCTTTAGGCCTCAATTTTGGACTTTGGGGCTGAATCTAGACTGCCTGTTGGCCTTTGACTTAGACTGGGACTCTACCCCATTGACTTCCATTCGAATAGACAACTTCTGCACGAACAGACACATCTATTGCACAAACAGACATGACTTACACAGCTCCCTTGACGAACAGACGCGACTCCCACAATTGAATGCTGCAACTGTTCGTCCTGGGGCACAACTGTGACCTTTGGCACAACTCCTCACTTTAGTTAGGTTGTGACTTTTGACCCAAAGAGCACGTCTTTTGTTCTGCTTTTCACGAGTTGGGTTCTGGCCAAGTTGACCTTTGGCACAACTCCTCACTTTAGTTAGGTTGTGACTTTTGACCCAGAGAACATGTCTTTTGATCTACTTTTCACGAGTTGAGTTCTGGCCGAGTGGGCCCCATTATGCTGCGGCTGTCATTCAGGGTCTGAACGGGTAAAGGCCCTTTTCCTTGGGCAAAAATCTGCAAAATCTGCAAAATCTGCAAAATCTGCAAAATCTGCAAAGACTGCGTTTTCTGAAATCTATGTCTTTTGCAAATCTGTGTTTTCTACATATCCGTTGTAGGACTAGTTGCTGCAAGTCAGAACTTTTTGAAGTCCGGAACTAGGGAAAACTTCGGAAGACGGAGCCGGAGGCTTAGAGTAGGACGAAGTATCGAACTTTTCACACCGTCTCCTTCCTCCTTCTTCTTCACCCATCGACCATAGCCAACCACCTCACACCATCTTCCTCCTCCACCTCCTTCACCCATCCACTATAGCCAACCACCTCACACCTTCTTCCTCCTCCATCATCTTCATTCATCCACCATAGCCAACTGCCTCACTCCATCTTTCCTCCTCCATCTACTTCACCCACCCACCATAGCCAACCACCTCACACCATCTACCTCCTCCATTTTCTTCACCCATCCACCGTAGCCAAACCACCTCCCACCATCTTCCTCCTCCATTTACTTCAGCCATCCACCAACCCCTCGTATCCATCTTCATCCTCCATGTTCTTCACCCATCCACCATAGCCAACCACCTCACACCATCTTCCTCCTCCATCTTCTTCACCCATCCACCATAGCCAACCACCTCACACCATCTTNCCAACCACCTCACACCATCTTCCTCCTCCATCTTCTTCACCCATCTTCCTCCTCCATCTTCTTCACCCATCCACCATAGCCAACCACCTCACACCTTCCTCCTCCATCTTCTTCACCCATCCACCATAGCCAACCACTTCGCACCATCTTCCTCCTCCATCTTCTTCACCCATCCACCATAGCCAACCGCCTCACACCATCTTCCTCCTCCATCTTCTTCACCCATCCACCATAGCCAACCACCTCACACCTCCTTCCTCATCTTCCTCAACCATCTTTCATATCCAACCGCCTCACACCCACTTCTCACTTCACTCCTTTCACCAACCAAAGACCATGACCAAAGGAACACAATGGAACAAGGTACCCTTCCCGCTTCACTCCTTTCACCAACCAAAGACCATGACCAAAGGAACACAATGGAACAACGTATAGAAAGGGAACCTTAGGTAGGACAATAGGACGAGTAAGGGGGTAAGTTTAATTAGGAGTAAGGGGTCTCATTCTTCTCTCTCTCTCTCTCTCTCTCTCT